GTCCCGCCACGATGTCGTGCACGAGATCTGGGAACCCACTCGGGATCTCGCGCCCTCGAGGCCATGTGTCGCGGTCCTTTTTTATCTTCGCGCCCCTGCGTGCCCAGCGTCGTGTCCTGGTCGTCGTAGCTCAGCTGCTTCTCGTGCGTCGCGGCGTCCTTCTTGCTCGGCTCCTTCTCCAGGTCTGCGAAGCTCGGCTGCCCCCCGTAGGTACTTGGCAGCTCGTCCAGGTTAGCGAAATTACTGAAGCTTCTCGTGCGCGGTGCCGTTGCCGCCGAGATTGTCGCCGTCGTCGGTCGCGATGCGTTTGTTGCCGTCTCTTGAACTGCGAAGCTCTGCTGCTCTGGCGTCGCGGTGTCCTGTGTGCCCTTTGTCTCGTCCTGGTCTGCGAAGCTCTGCTGTTTCTCGTGCGTCGTGGTGTCATCGTTGCGCAGCGTCGCGTCCTGGTCGTGGCAGTTCGGCTGCTTTTCGTGCGATGCGGCGTCCTTCGTACTCAGCTCCCCCTGGTCTGCGAAGTTCTTCTGCTCCATGCATGTCGCGGCGCCCTTTGTTCCCAGCGTCGTGTCCTGGTCAGCGTACTTCAGCAGCTTCTCACGCGCGGTGTCTTGCGTCTCGCCTTCTGAAGTCGCTGAGTCCTTGTTGCCTGCCCAGCGGCGTCCTCTGGTCTGTGACGCTCTGCAATTTCGGCGTCGGCACCAGTCGGAGTCGGCGAAGAACGTCTAGAGACAGCTGTTGTGATTTCCGGGCATGCGTGCATCGGGCACGGAATCGCCGTCGCCGGCTGGGCGCCGGTCGGGAGCAGGACGCGTCCTGGGTCGCACCTGCGGGCGGCACGCGAGAGAAGCTGTCAATGCAATGGACCATGCCATTGCTGCCGTGCGGGCCTCTGCCGAGTCAAGTCTTCCTCCACATGCTGCGGAACGGCCGGGTGGGAGCGCGCGCTGCCCCGACAATCTCTTAGGCCCAGATGGCAGCTGGAGGAGGAGGAAGAGGATGAGAAGGAGCAGGAGGAGGGTGGAGGAGGAGGAGGAGCAGGAGGAGGGTGGAGGAGGAGGGGGTGGAGGAGGAAGAGCAGGAGGAGGGGGAGGAGGGGGGGAGGAGGGAGGACGGAGGAGGAGGAGGAGGAGAGGAGAGGAGGAGGAGGAGGAGGAGGAGGAGGAGGAGAGGAGGAGGAAAAGGAGGAGGAGGAGGGGGAGGAGGAAAAGGAGGAGGAGGAGGAGGAGGAGGAGGAGGAGGAGGAGGGTGGAACAGGAGGAGGTGGAGCAGGAGGAGGGGGGTGGAGGAGGAGGAAAAGGAGGAGGAGGAGGAGGAGGAGGAGGAGGAGGGGGAGGAGGAAGAGGAGGAAAAGGAGGAGGAGGAGGAGGGGGGGGAGGAGGAGGAGGAGAGGAGGAGGAGGAGGAGGAGGAGGAGGAGGAGGAGGAGGAGGAGGAGGAGGAGGACGAGGACGAGGAGGAGGAGGAGGAGGAGGAGGAGGAGGAGGAGGAGGATGGGGAGGAGGAGGGGGGCGGAGGAGAGTGGGCGGCCTCGCCCGCGACTCTTCCAGACCCCGAGCCTCCGCCAACTCGGCTCCCTCTGCCCCGCCCGCCGTCCACGGGCGCACCGCTCTCGGCGGCGCGCAGAGGGGGAAGTGAGATGGGGGTGCAGCGCGGCAGGGATGCCACGGCCTTGGGCGCCCATGCAGAGGCTCTTCAAGCGGGGGCTGGCCATCGAAAGTGGTTGAGGATGGACCGAAGATGACCGAGGAGGCAGGAGGACCATCGTCCTTGCCATCAGGGTTGGCTGTAGGCCTTCTCAAAAGGGGGAGAGGCTTCTCAGAAACACGTGCGCCTTTGAGGAGCGGTCTGTGGCTTCGGAGAAGGCAGAACAATCTTCGGAGGCCTTCTGAAACTTCTGAGAAGACCCCCTCTTGGGCGTGCTGCCGAGAGAGAGAGAGAGAGACATATAGAGAAACTGCTGCGATACGATAGCGAGCTACAACAAGTTAATATTGTAAGCGATCACGTTCGTCTTGCAGAAACGGTGCTGATACTGCTGCAGTGTGACGCTGCGAATGCTCACTTGGCGGCGCTTCAGTAAAACCAACGGGATTGATCCACTTGAGCAGTTGCCCCAATTAGAAACACATGCAAGTACTGCAAGTACTGGGGGGTCTGCTCGAGCTGCTTCGCAACCGTTGAATGCACTGTGTATTCACGATGCCTTATTGTACACATGACGCGACAAACCAGTTTGCACGGAGGCAAGAATAAGCATGCACATGCCCGAGACGCAGACCCACACTGCGCTTCTCAAGCTTGGAAGACGCCTTCAGAATTAGCATCATGACTGCCTCGAACATAAATAACATCATGTGGCCACACTTTTGACTTCGGGCGCCCTGCCGAAAGAGCCTCATGCAGTCCCTACCAGAACAGCGCGAGAACTGTAAGCATGCATTCGCCAACAATATTCCGAGTTCAAATAGTTTCAGCTTCGCATCACTTTCGCAGCATGGTTGCCCCTTCAGGCAACTGCATGGAGGCGAGCTTAACACAGAACGCCGGAGAGAACGCAGGTTGCTCGTGAGTTGATGTGAGTTGGAGCGAACATTAGAACATTCAAATCAAATATTTGCACGAAGTTGCGACCCCATCCTCAATGGACGCTGTCTCGCCATGCGTCTGTCGCTTAGTCTGGAGGAGTACCGTGATTCACTTGGGCCGACCGACGAATACAACCACGACACACATGATCATTTGTCATCGCTGGGCACTCAGGCGGGACAATGCAATTATCCACCGACCCTTCGGCGTGAGACGCTGTCGTCGTCTTCTCTTTCGTCGTCGATGTCGCTAGTCCCAAAGAAATAAATGTAGTAACGAACAATGGCGTAGTGAAAAAAGGTTCCCTCTCCGCTGTGGGGCGGTTCATGGAGAGGGGCCCTCGGGGAAGCCTCGTCAGCGGTGGTGGGGGAAGGTGGGCCCGGGTCAAAATGCCGCCCACCCCTCGGGTTCAGGGGGAGCCAGCGGGGGTCCCCAGGAGGTCTCGCCTTCAGGGTCGGCGGCACAGGCGGTAAAGCCTTCACGATATGTTGCTTTGAGCTATCCCCACCGAAAACCTTCGGCGCCTGTCCTCCTCCTCCTCCTCCTCTTCCTCCTCCTCCTCCTCCCTTCCCTTCCTTCTCCATCCTTTCTCCTCCTCCTCCTCCTCCTCCTCCTCCTCCTCCCTCCTCCTCCCTCCTCCTCTGTCACGCTCGCGCTCGAGTGCTGCACCACCCCGGCCCGGGCCAGCTGCACCCCTCCAAAAGTGCTGCCGTGCCACGGTTCTGTTGCGCGCCGTTCTGTTCTTTCTCTGTCACGCTCGTCGAGGGCGCGGGTGGCGGGAAAGTCGGGGGAGACTCGGTGGACCTTGGGATGTGGCGGCCGCGGTATTCAGAATGGACCAGTCGGGAGGTCTGTTCTCAAAATCTAACGACCCCAACCTGTCGGGCTGGAAGCAAGTCTCGTATGTTCTGCCTGTTCTGCTTTGGTATCTCATGTGTTGCTATGTCAGATCCAACTCTGTCATGTTCTGTTCTGTCATCTTATGTTCGGTCATGCTATGTTCTGTTGTGCGCTGTTATGTTCAATTCTGTCCTGCTCGTCGCAGGCGCGGGTGGCCGGAAAACCTGGGGACACTCGGTGGACTTCGGGATCTGGCGGCCGCGGTATTCAGAGTGGGCCGGTCGGGAAGTCTGTTCTAAAAATCTAAAGACTCCAACCTGTCGCGCGGGGGACAAGTCTGATGCTGTGCGCGCTCGCGCCGTGGGCGACATGGGCGGCGCGGGCGACATGGACGACATGGGCGACGTGGGCGACATGGGCGACGCGCGCGACATGGGCGACCTGGGCGCCCACGTCGCGCCGAAGGCAGTCTGGAAGCGCCTTCGGGGTGTTCTGTCATGCTCTGCTCTGTACGTCATGTGTTGCTATGTCATGCTCTACCCTGTCATGCTCTTTTCCGTCATGCCATTTTCGGTCATGTTCTGTCATGCTATGTTCTGTTTTGCGCTGTCCTGTTCAAGCCTTTCATGCTCGTGAAGGCAAAAGTGGCGGTATATTCGGGGGACACTCGGTGGACCAGGGGATGTGGCGGCCGCGGAATGAAAGGTGGGCGGGTCGGAAGGTCTGTCCTTCAATTCTAACGGCCACAACCTGGCGGGCGGGGAACACCCCAACCTGTCGGGTGGGGAACAGGTCGGATCTGTTCGGTCATGTCCTGGTCTGGTATGTTCTGTGATGTTATGTCAGGCTCACTTCTGTCATGCTCTGTTCTGTCATGATATGCTATTTAATGTCATTATGTGATGCTGTTCTGTCATGATATTTTCTGTTCTGTTTGTCATGCTCGTCAAGTCGCGGGTGGCGGGACACCCACACCTGGCGGGCCTGGGGATCTGGCGGCTGCGGTATGCAGGGAGGGCGGGTAGTTAAAGTCGAAGAACCCCAACCTGTCGGGTGGGGTCTGAGAACTTCCTGTAACTGCTTGCTTGGCGCAGGAGATGCCACATTGCATAGAGCAGTTCGAAAGAAACCCGATATCTATTTGGACCTTACCAAAAACGCCAAATCCCATCAGTGGCAATCTCGTCGTGTGCATGGACGCTGCTTCTGTATGCTTGGCTGTATGCCGCCCTGTGCAAATACGAATATGCACCCACGTCTCAAATTCAAAAACTGCCAGATATTCTAGGCAGGCCACCGGCCTCCTCATTAAAAACTCCTACTCCTAATGCGTAGTGCAAGAACGGGACCGCGACGGATCGGTGAAAAGCGAAACCGCTGACCACAAGAAGCACGTTGCGTCGCAGACCCGACCAATCGATTAATTTAGACTTGGGAATGGTCGCACCAGAGCCGATCCAGAACTGCACGTCTGGCTCTGATTTGACTCGCAGTCTTGATTAGCACGGCGAAGCCACAACCTCGGACAGAGGTCAAAGAGTTATCGGCCATGCTACCAACACACGTGCCCGCGAGCGTTTAAAATGATGGGCAGCAGCACCACTGGCAAGCGATTGACACAAAGCCAATTTCATCGACCGCTCCCTCCCCCCATTCCCACCGCTTCACGACCACGACGACAACGACTATGATGATCATGGTGATGGTAATGATTACCAGCGACAACCACGACGACGACGACAATGACTACCACGACGACGACGACAACCTCGACGATGATGACTACGACTGCCACCACCACCACGACGACGACCACGCTCCTCCTCGGTGATGGCTCGTCGTTGAATTCGCAGCAACGCACAACGGCAGGACCACTACGCATTGAACCGACATCGGAACCTGGTGTGCGCAAGGAAGGGCCCAACGCCGACCCGAAAAAACCGCGGGACCCTCCGGAAATCTATAGCAGAACATGATGCGAGATAAGGGTGCGAGATAAGGATGCAAACCCGTTGGACGCCCATGCCGAAGCTTTCGAGCACGGTTGGCTATCGAAAGTGGTTGCGGATGCACCAAAGATGACCGAAGAGAGGCAAGGACGTATGGGTACCCTTAGAAAGTGGATCGTCCTTACTATCAATGTTCACTGTATGCCCACGCAATTTTCGCCTCCTCGACTGGGGTTCGCACGCACGAAACGGGTTCGGACAAACACGGGCAAATACAATGCCTAACGGCACACGCTGTCCAAAACCTGCAGCGATCGCTCTTGGGCATGCAACTTGCTGTCCCAAATCAAGCCACGCCCACGGCGACACCGACAGCGATGCCAAGTCAAAATAAGCAAGACATGCTGTGGTTAAGACGAAGCCAGCACGAGGAGAACATCGGGTGAGTACAACTCGAGAATACCTGAGATCCGGCGGCTCTGGAACATGCCGGGGCGCGATGCGGAACGCTCTGTGAACGGATTCTCATCCTCGTCCTGGCCCATCCGACCCGTCCCCATTCTCTCGGCATCCATCTCGATCGAACCGAAGGGGGAGGCGAAGGGCACCGTTCGGGGAGGGGCGGGCTGCTCCGGGGGAGAGGCCGGCCCGGCAGAGGCCCCCGGCAGCGGAGCCGCACGGCCCTGGGCGGGGGCTGCTCCTCGGGCCCCCCTCGGCGAGGTACGGGCGCGGCCGAGGGCCGAGGCCTCCCCGCTTCCGAGCCCGTCCCTCGGGAGCGGTCGGGGGTCCGAGCTAGAGGGGCCCCCCGAAGCTCGACCGAGAGGGGGGACGATGCCAGCTCCGCGCAGAGCCCGCCCCTGGACTCCTCCCAGGGGGTCCACCTGGTGCGGCTGTGCCTCCCGGGTTCTGTCCGTCCGATGAGCTCGGGGCCCGAAGGCGGCCCCCAGAGGCCGAAACGGCACTGCGCCAGAGAGAAAACCCAATCCGCCGATTGCCTGGAACTTGCGCAGTCGCTCCACGCTTGCCCTCTCCTTTTTTATTATTTTCCTCTCTCTATATATATCTAACTCTCGCTTTCCGCAGTACTCTTTTATGTATATATACACATATGTATGTATGTATGTATGTATGTATGTATGTATGTATGTATGTATATATATATATACATTATCTGTTCACCGGATCTGCCCTCACACCTCGCTCTGCACTCTGTTGTGCATGTTGTGCAATCACCTTCTCTCAACTGTAATGTGTATACAGTGTTTGTGTGTGTGTGTGTGTCTGTACGTCTGTCTGTCTGTCTGTCTGTCTGTCTGTCTGTCTGTCTGTCTGTATGTCTGTGTCTGTCTGTCTGTCTGTCTGTCTGTCTGTATGTCTGTCTGTCTCTCTATATCTCGTTATATGTATATATACATATATTATCTCTCTGTGCCTCTCTCTATTATATATACATATGCATGTATCCGCCACCGTGCCTGCGCGGAGTGGGTGTACTAGAATGCTCGTCTGTTGTGTGTGAGTGTTTTAATATCTAGGGCCGCCCCCCCCTGCCGCACGCGTAGCTCAGATATATTTCCCTGATGTTGCTTTCCGGTGATTATTTCGGCCTTCAAACGGCCAAGACGGCCTCCAAAACGGCTTCTTTACAAATGCCAACACGGCCCAACACGGCCCAAAACGGCTCAAGAGGTTCCAAAGACTGCCTCACGACAACTCCAGAAGCTCCCAAGACGTCCCAAGAGGCTCCAAGAGGCCCTTCAAAAAAAACCGAGGAAACCCAAACCACTGATTACCCGCAGATTTTCGGATGTAAGGATTCTCGTTCAGTTCGGTTTTCGACCGTCCAAGACGGCCCAATGGGGTCTCCAATATAGCTCCGAGACCCCCCATGAAGCCCCCAAGAGGACCCGAACGGGCCGAAGAGGACCCCAACACGGCCCAGAAAAGTTTCCAAGGCGACCTCCGAAGGCGTCACACGGGCCAATCGCTTGCCTACCACAGCCCAAGAAACCCCAGGAGGCCCCCAACTGGCACCAGGAGGCGCCCAAGAGGCCCCCAGGAAATTCCCAGGAGGCCCCCGGGAGGTCCCTAAGAGGGGCCCTCCCCCTCTTCGTCCTCATTTTATCCCTCTCCTCCTCTTCCTCCTCTTCCTCCTCCTCCTCCATTTCCTCGTCCTCCTCCCCATTCCTACCGCGCGGACGAAGACGATTTCGGGATCGCGGCCGTCCCCACTTCAGACCACTCACGAAACTGCCGCGGGGTGAGAGCTCCTTCCTCCCGCGCGGACGAAAACTGAGTGGACCCCAACACCCTGAGTGAGGCTCTGCTTTTCCCTGGACTGGCAAGGCGCTGACACAACATGGCTCTGGTCTGTCTCCGTTCCCGACGCAAACTGTGGGAACCTCCATCCGTTCTGAACTGCGTACTCACATGCCTGACTGATTCTACGCCATCAGGGGATGAACACTCGCACGCCTCCTTGCTACGGCCCCCTCGGAACACAGCGGCCACCGACAGCCCGCGTGATTAGCCTCTCTTTGGGGCAGTCCTCCAAAGACCTTCAACGCATAACCACTACCAAGTCGTCGCCACCGACTTCGTCCTCGTCCGTGCCTTCAGGAAGATCATCAGCCGAGTGCCTGACCGCACCAAGCTGGACGACGCCTCAGCCTAGTGCCGACCTGCACTAAATCTGGCAAGCGCACGAGCCTGATCACAGTCAGCCACGCAGCCTACAACGCTCAAGCTTCTTCACCTCGCGAGCCCGATCAAGTCCCTTACATGAGCTCGGGCTGTGGTGCTTCTTTCAATGCCTCAGTACAACGTAGATGCACCCTGTCAGTCCTGTCCGTGGCTGCGAGATGCCGAGCTTCGATAGGGCGATCGCCTCATCCGTCTGCGCGCTCTGGCTCACTATCACGGACGCCTCTTGCCCCCTTCGGCCCATGCAGAACCGGCCACTGACGATGAGACGCATCGTCGCCCAAAAAATTAACTGGAAAGAACTCCGCCTCTGTCGCGCCGTCCGCCGCCGCTGCCGGTTCGGGGGGCGTCGTCGGAGCTGCCGCCGCCGGCGTGCCGTCGCCGCGCCTTGCCGCAGGCGGGCCCAGCGGCGGCGCTCCGACCAATTCCCAGTGCCGCTCGGGGTCGAGGAACTTGGTGAGCAAGTCCCCTCGGTTCATCGTCGTCTTGACCTAGTGCGGCCGCGCTTCTCCTGACCTCGTCTTCTCCAGGATCCAGAGCAGCTTGGCCTCCAAGCGTCTCGCTCGGCCAACGCCGGGGCGATGCGCGATGCCCGCGGCCGCGGCCAAGCCGACCTTCGCGATGGGGCCCCGCTCGCCCATGTCGGCCAGTGCTTGAAGGAGGGCCCGTGCGCCGCTCCGTTCGCCAGCTCGTGGAGCTCGGCTTCGCCTGTTGGGGGGGCGATGTTTTTTGTGCTGGCCGCTATGGCTGTCCAGCGGGTGCCTGCCCCAAAACGCGAGTCCGCCGCCCGTGGGCCGACGGGCCCGCGGGCGCTGCGCCCCGCCCGAGTCGACCTCGACGCAGAGGCCCTTCGCCGTCTCCTGGTGCACGAAATCCCACTGCAGCTCCTGGCGCGTCTTGAAGTCGCTGCCCAGGCGTTCCAGCTGGAGCTTCTACAGCACCGCGCGCTCCTCCAGCGCCCAGATCGGCGCTCCCGTCGCGCGCTGGATGTCGGGGCGGTCCGCGGCCGCGTAATGCGCCGGCGGTGCCGGGCTGCGATGCGCACCCCGTTCCACGTCGCCAAGGATGTCCGCGGCGCCCTTCTGACTCTGGCCCGCCCGTTTGCTGCCAAGGCGGGGCAGCCTGCTGGGCGCGCGCCTCTCAGCGCGGTCGACGTGCGCAATGGCCTTCTCGATGTGGCCGCGCCCGCGCGCCAGCGGGGGTCGCCCTCGCCCCTGCCGGTCGCGTGCTCGACGAAGAGTCCGCGACTCGCCCCGGCTAGCTGCGGGGGGCCGACGCGCGGCCCACTGGTCCACGGCCCTATCGAGCCAGTCGAGCTCCCCCCGCTCGCGCGCCGCGCAGAAAACATCTCCGTGGGCCACGGCCAAGATGGCGCGCCTGACGCGGTAGAACACCTGCGCCGCGACTGTGATCCGCTTGGCCCAGGACCTCGCAAGCGCGTCGATGACGTGCTCCTGGAGATTCAGCACTGCTTTCCTCGCGCCGTGCACGGCCTTTCTCAGCCGCCGCCCGCGCTGCGCCCCCCCCCCCCCCCCGGTCGGCCCAGATGTCCTCGCCCGGCGGCGCGTGGTAGAACGCGAGCGACGCGGCGCGCGGGGCAACCGGCCTCCCGCGCGCACCTCCGACGAGTGTCGCAGCGAAGCTGAGCCAAATTTTGCGCGAGGCAAGCTAGGCGCCCCCGCGAATCAATCGCCCCCGGCCTCCCGCGCTACCTGCGTGGCCGCGAGGCGGGATCGGACGATCGTCGGCCCGATGCCGTCGTGGCGCTCGTCGTCCAGCTACAGCACTCGCACTCCGTCCGCAGCGCCCTGTCGCGCGCCCTGAACTCCCGCGCGAGCCCCTCCCCCCGCGCCGCCAGCCCGCGCCCCCGAGCTCTGGGTCTAGCAGAATGACGGGCCTCGACGCGTGCACTGGTCCCTGTGCCACGGCCGCCGTGATGATGGCAACGAGCGCGCTCTGAATCATGCTCGCGCCAGGGCCGCCGACTGCGCG